GTAACCGATTGTAACCGATCATCGGTTACTTGGGTCCAACCGATGATCGATTACGAAATTACAACCGATTGACAACACTACTAATGCGTAAAATCGCCACCACACCATAGACGGTATTTGGGGTACTTGTATATAATATAGCCGAGTCGGTTTACAGTTAGTGTTAGGGTTTGGGACAGGGTGACTGTTTGTACTTGTGTGTGGTCTGCAGTACATGCGTAGTGTAGGACGGTAAAAATACACGCGTCTGTTGTCCTGGTCGAATGGGAATTTTTGACGATCGATTCCCGCTCTGTCAAACTTTTATTGTGGTGGAATTTAATCGTGGCGGAGGTAATTTAAACGGGGCGCAACGATTGAAACGTGGGGAATTTTTCCCAAACAGGGCGGGCGCGCCTGGTTTGGGCAACGTAGGGAGGGGCCTGACAGACTAAAACGTACGACACGATTATCCATTCTGTTGCCAGCAAACCGAATGTATAAACCGCCTAACTTGAAACAAAAGGCAGCTGTAAATAGGTCAAAGATTAGCTCGCCGAGTGTTGCGTCGATATCCAATGTCCCAGCGAGCCACACCGCATCGCCGAGGGCGCAAGAGTTGTTAGTAGCTGCTTTTTGTATCCATTGTTACAAATTCGATTAACAAGTAATTTTTACTATTTTATACCTATTCCATGCATTTATATTGCAGGTGGACTGGAAAGTGACAACGGTTGATACTAGGTTTTCAAGCACTTCTGAAGACCTGTCACCAGATAACAGCCTGGATTTGCCATCTGTCATTGTTAGTGTTGCTCCGCTGTCACCAAAAACCATCTTTCGTCACACGGAGAAGTCTGGGATTCATCGGGAAGGTGTTGTCACTGCTAATGAATTAGAAAAGACCGATAGTAGTTGTATGACCAGAATTGAGCGTTCTCTGGAATACGAGCGTAGAAGGGATATTGATGAGCAGTGTGGAACGACCACTGCAATACCACAAGACACTACCATGATTGAGGCGAGTCATAAAAACGAAGGCATTCGACAGTGCATTGAAAAGCATGACAAGGATGGTGAAAAGAGTGATGGTTCTGGCATGATAAAAACAATGCGAGATAACAAGACGAAGAAAGATACGGGTGTAAACACTGTAAAAAACGTAAGGAATGTGAGTGGTCTGGCTGACAAAAGAGACTTTAGGAAACTAAGGCTAGCAGATGATACGAGAGCTCCTTTGTATTCCACTGATAGATCAAAATTGTCCAGTGAAAAAATACAGAAAACTCGTTCAAGGCACATAAATGAAAAACGTTTAGAAATGCAACCAAGCACAGAAAACTCTGTGTGTAACAACAGGAAATCGAATGTCGTGTCAGAGAACTTTGCTTATGAAACAGCCAAAACTGCATCGTCCCCAATGCTCAAACCTACTGATATTAAGCTGTGTGTTGTAAATGATGAAGAAGCCAAGGAGCAGGTATCTCATAGAAAAACCAGTGAGACAACCCAGTTGGAAGGCAGGGTACTCGAAAATACTGTGTGCGTGCCGTCACAGAAAAATCGAGATGATCTGCACTTTGATGGAGGTTCTGTTGGTGAACGGACTGTAGATGTGAAGATATCTTCACTACAGCAGGGTAAACTTGTGACTGTGCAGGCCAAGGATGTAGCTGGAGAGGGGTTGCCTAATATTTCTAAGGAAGAACCTATATGTTCTACGAACACAAAGATAGAAAAATCTAATGAGCTTCAAAAGGCTCGAAGCAAGAATGCAGAAGGTGCAGAATGTTCTAGTGTCAATATGTCTAGTAAGAAAGGCCCTGAAGAAAAAGACATAGTACAATCAAAAGATACTGGTGATATATATGGGCATGCAGCTCTTGATCAGGAGCAACTAAACCCCACTAGATGCCATGCTGAAAACCCCATTCAAGCAGATTCAGTAAAAGGAATTCATGAGAACTCATCGCAAGAGCCTGTAACAGTCAATGAAAATGTAGGAGAACAATCGGTGGTACAAAACATTGTAATGGATACTGACAAACTGTATTCAAACGAAAGTCTTCAAAAAAAGTCATGGGATCTCAACCTCACAGTAACGAATACTGAGTCCATCAATGGTTCTGACTGCCAACAGCCAACAGAACTGAGTTTATGTACTGAGTTATCTGATAAATCTATGTCGTTACCTAGGGCGTCAGTGATTGTGTCTTCATCAGCAGTAGGCAAAAGTAACGAGGGCAGTAGTGCCCAACTTAAGTCAGAAGTCTCATCTGTAGAAGTAACTGAGCAAATAGTTAGTATAATACCTTCACAGTCATCTCTTACGTGCATCTCCCCTGTTGCTGTAACTGTCACTGATATGCCTGCAACGTCAGATGGTAAAGCATCGATACCGAACAAAGCTGGTGAGGCCCCAGTCAGAACTAGAAGTAATAAGGACCTTTTCCATGAGACCACTGGAAAAGAGTTGCACTCCAGCCAGATAGCATATGAGAATGACCAACCTAGCATGACTGCTGCTAAGACAGAGAATGTAACAACAGGAGGTAATGTATTATCAACACACAAATCAGCAGGATTCAATGGTGGCAAACCTCTCACAGAACCAGGAGTGTCTAAAAAGCTTGCTGGAATTATAAAGCCCACTACTTTCCCCAAATCATCAGCGAATGCTGAAAATATGGTTCGTGCTAAAAGCAAAACAGCTGCAGTTGCGAGTACTGGCTCTAGTATGACTAAGCCAGGGTTAGGGTCGTCTGGCCAACCACTGATCACACCAACTTCAAAGCCGGTGACTACATTACCGGAAGCAACTGTTTCGACATTTAGCCCACAACTACCCTCTACTGTGAAACCGCTTCATCAATTACCAGTGTCGCAGCGTCTAACGCCACCCGTTGAACCGGCGTCCTCCATAGGACCAGGCATTGTGTCACTTGAGTTACATACTGAGGCAGCAATAACCAAGTCAATGGGGCTGGTTGAGGCTCAATCATGTGAATCCGAATTGTCGGAAGCACCCATAGCTAAGCAGGAGCCCGCGGTACTGGCTAGTTCTGAAGGCGAAAACAACAAGCCACGGTCCTTGAAGAGGCCATTGTCACGATTACCTAAGAAGAGGAAAGCTTCCGAAAAACTGCCTACAGACAGTGATGTGAGCACACCCAAGGTAATGGATAGTAGCCCCAGAAAGGGTATTGCTGGAAACAGTTTAAATTCTATTGAAAGTGGCAAGACTTCCAAAACAGATAAGCAGTCGGTTGGCATATCTAGAGTCATCGAAACTCATGCCAAAGTTTCAAAAGCCAAAAAGAAATCTTCCAGTTGTAAAAAAATGGGCCTTTCCGCTGCTGCTAAAATCTCAATCAAGCAGAACGATCACTCCAAAGAGATATCCACTCTAGGGATAGTTACTTCTATCACCAGTGTCTCCATGAAGAGTGAGTTAGTTCAAAATGGTCTGGAGGCAGTCAAGAGCAGTAAAACTGAGAAACTGCTGGAGAAGCCTGCAGGTAAACGTAAAGACAAGGAGCCTGCTGCAGATCTTAATAAGAAAACATTGTCACCTGAAGCTCCTCAAGATTCGGTGAAGAAAGAACATTCACAGTCGGAGTCTACTAACGATGTCACGTCGCAACCCAGTGCCAAGCGTAGTCACAAATCGAAAACATCACAGAGAAGGAGCTCAAAACAGCGGTCGAAACTGAAAGAGCAAGTGAGCAAACCAAAAACACCACACGTCTTGAGTAGTGTCGATATGCCCACATTTGAGTTCACCAAGGACGAGCAAAGTCAGCTGTTGCGGAGCAGCGACAAGGACAGAGCTCGTCGACCGAGGGATGTTCTCCAGCATATGCCCTCCAGTCCAGTGCTGAAGAAGTCTCTGTTTGAGAAATTTGCCGCGTCTCTCACCGAGGAGCAGGCAGAGGACAGCGCCACTAGCCAGGAGGGTGACGAGCTGCCGCCTCCGATAACGGAACCGGCGAAGACGCGGGGGCGTCGCCGCCCGCCAGCGAAACCTCCCAAGCTTCACCCCATGGCTCCCGTTGAGCGTAGCACGAGCGCGCAGGCTAGCAAGCCGGCGTCGACCTGCGGACGGCTGTCCGACACTATTCAGCGCCACCTAGAGAGCCATTTGAGTCACGCCGCCGCCGTCGAAAGCCAGCAAGCAGTGAGGGTGAAGCGCGGACGAGGGCGGCCAAAAGGCTCGCCGAACAAGAAGACAATACTCCTAGCCCTGCAGGGTGCACTGTCTCAAAAGCGCACTGACCTTCTCAAGCAGCAGTTGGCCAACCTGCCGCAGTCGGATAGCCTGTCGGCAGTAATCGCTAGCATTTCAAACAAGCTCTCTCAGCCCGTAACTCCAGAGTCGAGCCGCGCTATGCAGAAACTTATAAGAAATGTGCAGCGAACGGGATCTATTAGTGTAAATCCATCGGGAACGATGCCTAAGCGTAAGCGGGGACGCCCGCGAAAAGAGCCCTTGCCGGAGCCTCACGTGGTGAAGGCCCGCGTGAGTGACAAGGGCGATTCCGAACTGCGCTCGCTCGTGAGGAGCATCGAGAGCTCTATTGAGAGCCAATTTTCAGATAAGGACGATTTCGACATCTCGCGGACGTCAGGTGCGGCTCCGAAAAGCGCAAAGCACAATCGATCAAAGGCAGCTGTTCTACATCGTAGGCGACTCAAGCACATATTTGGTAAGACTCTCAAGCTGAAAAAGCGAAGGCGGCGCAACCAAGACGTGGCTTCGGTGACGGACAGTCAGCGAGCAGATAGCGTGGCGAGCATCTGCAGTGAATCCAGCGAGGTGCAAAGCAGTGCATGCAAACGCTCGCCTGTGCTGGGCGAGTATGGCTCGAGCGCGACGGCGGCAGCCTCTTTCCTGGAGCGCTATCGGAACGCGAACAAAGCTCATCTCTTGGCCGCCAACGCGGAGTCTGCGGAAGCGCAGGCTAGGCATAAGTCACTGCGGCTCGACGACCCGTCCACTATGCAGGCTGCGCTGCTCTACCGCAACAAGGGTAAATTTGAGAAGGATGTCCTTACGAAGTTGCGGAAGCGCGCGTGCAAGGTGAAATCCAAGCATAAGAACATCGTAGATCCCGTGTTTCTAGACGAGCTAGACGATTTGACGCAACTGTTTGACAGGGCCACTATATCGGATCACTCCGAACCAGAACAAGGTTCTCTTGGTTGTAGTCCTCCCAGTGTGTTCCGGGTGTGTGACTATGGAAGCGGAAAAAGGGTCTTGGCAATCTTCAAAAGGCGCGTCGGGCGGCCTCGCAAGGCAGAGATGGTTACCAAGCACTTCAACATACTTACCAAGGAGAGTCTCATCTCGCTGAAGCGTGTGCGGAAAAAGAAAGTGCAGAGCGAGAACAGGTACTACGCGCCGACGCCGCGCACAACCGATCCCAACGAACAACGACTACCTTTGAAGAAGCGCCACAAGATGCTCGAATCGTCCTACAGCCACGCCGGTTCTCCGAGACACCACAGTGCCAACGCCGAGTCTGGCAGACACCTGGCCGGCCGACTCTTCCAGAGTTTTCACGGCACTTTCAGTGATGGTGGAGAGTCCTCCAACCTCTCAGTGACGCCTGGCGATCGACCCGACACCATGGCGAGGCGGCGAAAGTCTGGGTTGGGCGCTGGCTCGTCGCAGCACTGCAGTTCTGCGATGCAGTCACAGCAAAATAAGATCATGCACGACCTTTGGCAGCAGGTGCGGGATCGCTATGACGAGTACACGAGCGTTGATGAGGTCATCGACATTGTCTGCGGCGGGCCTGCCGACCTTCCCCTGCTAGAGGACGCCGTTGGTGACCCAGACAAGGGCGCGACTGTCGATCTCAATGCGTCGAAGCGAGAGAATTCGCCTGAGCCAGTACTGGGGGCGGCCCAGCCGCGGAAGCGCGGCCCAGGACGACCGCGCAAGTCCGACCCAGACGCGCCCAGCAATCGCTTCCATCAGTACCGACTGAGTGCGAAGCAGGAGCAGCAGCGCATCATGGATGCGATCATGAAGCAGCATGAGCGGCGGGAGCGGCTGCGGCAGAAACGCACTGAGAGCGAGCGGCGCAAAGCCGACGCGGCGGCGGTGGTGGCGGCGGCGGCGGCGGCGTCGAGCAGCACGCTGCATGACGGCAAAGACCTCGTCAGAGAAACGATCGACGATGTGATCAGTGCGACAGTGAGAGGCATTGCGCTGCCACGGCTCAGCAGTCCCACGAGGAAACGCAAGCACGCCACGACGTAAGCTCAAGTCTCTTGCACTCGGTCACTCTTTGAGTTTATTCTCAGGGAGTTTTATGCGTTGAGTGTAGTATCAGCTGATGCTAATGAGTTGATGCGCACACGTAGTTTACAGATAAGTTTGATGCTAGTTGCACACGCACACTCTGCATAGATTTAAAGTAGGCGCATTTCGTTTAATAGTTAACTGCAGTATTCTGTTTTCAACCTGTTTACCTTAAAGCCATGGATGTGTGCTTGCGTGCGTGCGTGCGTGCGTGCGTGCGTACGTGTACGCAGGCTTTTTGCAGAGATTTTTAATTTTATTTGTGTTTCAGCGAAGGTAGTTCGGGGAGGAAAAGATGGCGAGTGCCAAGGAAGAGGTAAGCACAGCAATGCAACATAGATTTTATTCCTGGAACAGGATCTGACAATCTAATACATTTTTTAATGTGCAGCTCTTGACAGGCTTGATATTGTCACCATGATGCAGATCATGATATACACCTATCTGTATATTTTTAGGCTTCCAGGAGAAATTGGAGAGACTTGTAGTGCAGGGAATACATCTGGCTATGTAAGTATTATAAGGCAGTGTTTGTTTTCCAAAATATCAACTAGTTTTTGCATGATAGTCAGCCTGTTTCTTGTACTAGTGTTTCTTGTTGTCACTAAAGAAAGTGCTTATAATTAAATTTATTTTTAATTATAATTGTTTGCGACTTGGATTGTGTAGACAATTGTGCAGACCATTTCTAAGCACTCCTTGATCTCAGAAATATATTTGTCTCTGTTGATACATCATCTATGAAATTTCATATTTATTGTACCAAATTTGTTGTATACTGTATATATAGATATATTGGTTTATATATAGCCTAAATTTTAAGAACGACAGTAATCAACCCTGGTATTGCTGTGTTTCTATCATGTGATTTTTTGTTTATTTTAATATTATTACTATATTTATTTTTTCTGTAGGTAAGAGAACTTATTGATTTCTCAGCACATAAGTACAAGAAAATAAAATCAAGTAAGTGTATATTAAGTAGCACTTTGAAAGTAAAGTGGTTAAAGGGATCGTTTACTCTAGGTTTTAGGGTTATTTTCAGTTAATTTAGGTTAAAATTACGCTACATAAAAATTTTCATGGTTCAATCACCATTAGAAATATTATTAAAAAATGTTTTAAAACTAACGACTACAGTTTGATTACAACGACGGTGGCGCCACTCAAAGCGCACGATCTGATAAGTTGCGCAAAACGACTTTTTAGCCAAGGGCTACAGACCGAGGGTGTTTCTTATTTATTAATTTAAAAGCAAAAGGATTGTAATATCTTATAAACGACATATAGTTTCAGTTATATTATGGATAAATTTGTCCTAAAATTAACATCTTTCGGTTAAATAGCATTTAGGTATAAATATAATTGCACCTTTGTGATTAGCCCTCGGTCTGTAACATGCAAAATAAATTGGCAAATGCGCAACTTTTCAGGGGGGGGGCAGCACGGTCGCGGGTGTTAATGGCGCCGTTCAAATTTCGTAGCGTTGATGTATAATTAATTATAACAATTAAATTAAGTATCTGGTAACAAGTATGTGTGGGTATAGACAATTTGTTATACAGTAATTACAGTTGTATGCAGTAAAATCCTAGAGTCTACTATCCCTTTAATTAAAGTAATTATGATTTTATTTTTTTTATTTTTTTAAAATGCATTCCAATTGCTAATAATAAACATACAACCATTTCAACAGTGCAGTTTTTCTGCCATGACAAGTGCATTGAAAAGCTTTAGGGGCAACACTATTACACACTTAGATTGTTGACTGATGAATCTGTCTTTGACTTGCAGATGTGTACGTGGATGTAAAGCCGCTCTCGTGGAACGAGCCACAGGAGTGCACCTGTCGCAGACCTGAGAACCCTGAAGTAGAAAAGGCATGTGGAGAACAGTGCCTCAACAGGTATATATATATACCAGCGAACAGCACGTGTGGACACAAGCACATGTGTTTTGTATTGCTGTAAATTGTACTCGTTTGTCTGGTAGCACATAGTTGCTAGCATGTAAAGCAAAAGCTTTTAGGTATAAAGGTACGAGAAGGAGCTGGTATTTATTAAAGGGAGAGTTTACTCTAGGTTCTAGGGTTATTTTCAGCTAATTTAGGTTATAATTACGCTACATGAAAAGTATCATGGTTCAATCACCATTAGAAATATTTTTTTTAAATGTTTTAAAACGAACGACTACAGTTTGATTGCAACGACGGTGGTGCCACTCAAAGCGCACGATCTGATAAGTTGCGCAAAACCACTTTCCAGCCAAGGGCTACAGACTGAAGGTGTTTCTTATTTATTCATTTAAAAGCAAAAGGATTGTAATATCTTATAAACGACATATAGTTTTACTTATAATATGGATAAATTTGTCCTAAAATGAACATCGTTCGGTTAAATAGCATTTAGGTATAAATATAATTGCACCTTTGTGATTAGCCCTCGGTCTGTAACGTGCAAAATAAATTGGCAAATACGCAACTTTTTCGGGGTGGCAGCACGGTCGCGGGTGTCAATGGCGCCGTTCAAATTTCGTAGCGTTGATATGTAATTAATTATAACAATTAAATTAGGTATCTGGTAACAAGTACGTGTGGGTATAGACGATTTGTTATACAGTAAGTACAGTTGTATGCAGTAAAATCCTAGAGGCTACTGTCCCTTTAAAGTGTAAATCTCAATTCGTAGCATGTGTTATTCATCCGTACATCAGTTGTCTACTGTATATTTGTAGAATCATGTACACAGAGTGCTCCCCAGATCTCTGCCCTTGTTTTGACGCATGTGCTAACCAGCGGATACAGCGGCACCAGTGGGAAGTGGGTTTGGAGAAGTTCTACACAGAAGACCGCGGCCACGGCATCAGGACATCTTTAACCATTAAGGAAGGTGTGTATTCACTTTGTCTGCACCCAACCTGAGGATTACTGTACGAGTGTATGCAGATGGAACAAGAAAGCATTTTTACCTTGGGAATCGGATGCATAAGAGCTGGTAAGCCTTGACCTACACTTAAGTTTAGCGCCCATGGATCCTGATTATTATGGTGTTGTTAATAGAACTTGGAATTAATCTAAATGGTTTGCCTTTCCTGTGTACATGCCAAACTCATGGTGTCGTGACTCACAATGGTGTCATGTACAACTCGGCATTGGTATGACCCCAGATTACTCTAAATGCTAGTGCCACTCACATTAACGTGCACACATGGTATGTTGTATACATATATACCATGTATACACACAGGGTATTAGCCAGGAATGAGTATTGTGCGAGTGCAGAAAAATTATATTGAAGTGCAATTTTTGTGTGTCTCAGACATACCGCCATAGGCAGTCTTCGTGAACGCTGTAGCACGGGGGGGGGGGCTTACTCCAGAATTGTTTTTGGCCGTGCAGTTTCAAAACTGACCGTGCAAATCACGGCTGCACGGCTCGCTGGCTAATACGTTGTATACACATTGTACATAGGTTGTTGTATATGCAAATGTGCTCTTTGACTGCAAAGAATGTCAAAAAGTGATGTGCATGTAGTGCGAGTTTTATTTTAGCTCAGCTGACGAAGTCGGAAGCAGCTTGTAGAATCGCATGATTGTCTGTCCGTCCATCCGTCCGTCAGCAGTTGGGCACAAATCTTAATCGCTCGACGTACGGTCTTTATATTCGGGACGTTGGGGGGATCGCGAAAAAGACTCGGTATGTCGAATTTGGGGGTCAAGGATCAAAGGTCAAGATGTGTCAATGAAGGGGGAATATTTCCCCCTTAACTTAAGGTATAGGAGGAAATACGGAATTGTGGCACAAATCTCAACGGCTCGACCTACGCTCTGAATATTCGATGTATAGTGTGATGGGGAGGAAACCCATCACCAGTGCGAAATTGGAGGTCACAGGTCAAAGGGCAGTGGGGGAAAGGTCAGATATCAGACATTTTCTGAGGACATGGTCTAACGGACCAAGTGCAAAACTTTTTTGTTTCAGCGCTGACCTACCATTTCTATCACTTTATTGAAAGGACCATGAAATGTACTTTCCGCTGACGTGCGAAGAGCAAGTGTCTGATAACCTTTTGACCCTCAAGAGGAGGGTTAAACATGGATTTGTTGACTATTAACAAAGGACTGAACTGCTTTTGCTATTGTTGATGTGAGGCTACAGTTGCACAGTTCAATTGCAAAGGCAAATGTTGGTTTTAAACAAGGTTTACGCTCCTTAAATCATATTATTTTCTAAAGATTGCCTGGCAACCTGCAATGCAGATGTGTTAACTCACAGCTGAGCAAAATTCTCGCCTGCTTGAATATACTTGGATTTTAGCCGGTAGGATTTCAGAAACTCAATGGAGTGAGGTTATCACGCACGAAGGGCGATGCCATCTTTGATTATTGATAACACTTGCACGCGCCATCTCACGGCACCTGCTTTTGCTATTAGTTAGAGCTCCCTCTACCCGCCCCCTCCCCCCACCCTCTCCCACCACCACCACTACGCTCGCGCTCGACACATATCCATGATAACATGTTAATATAGTGAAGTCATTAAAGTTACATAGCTGTATCTTTATTACTGTACTACCGGTATAGCAAAGCCTAGCTATCATAGATTTTAGATCTGTATTAGTAGTATCCTAGATTTATGCTCTGAGCGCGAACGCGGTGGCGGGAGGGCACACTTGATTCGGTTGCCAGTGAGTTTATCAGAAGAATACCCAGCTACAGTACACGTCAGTTGAGCGCTGTCGCTCTGCGGCACTTGTTATAATTATATCGGTGACATAGTACTACTATAATGCATTACATATCTGCCTGCCTGCCTTCCTGTCTGCCTACCTAGCTACCTACCTACCTTCCTGCCTACCTACCTACCTAGCTAGCTAGTATATACATTACTATTATATACACTACGATTATGTACTATGTCTTGTTTGTCTTCTATTCACTGATCATACTACTAGTTAAGTTTGCATTCTATCACGCGTGCTGCAGGTGACTTCATATTGGAGTACGTGGGTGAGGTGGTCAGTGAGCAGGAGTTTCGACGACGCATGACCGAGGTCTACCACAATGCACCGCACCACTACTGCCTGAACCTCGACAGTGGAACGTACATCGATGGATACCGCTACGGAGCCGAGGGTCGCTTCGTCAACCACTCATGCGATCCGAACTGTGAGATGCAGAAATGGTACTCGGAACACGCCACTCATGAACTAAAAACTGATATATTGAGATTATCTTAACCTTCTTGTTGTTTATTTATTTATTTTTAGCTATTTTATTTTCTAAATATTAGTTAGTTATATAGTCTAATATTACTAGTTGGTAGTGTTGTCACACACAGTATACTAGCATCATTTTGACTGCACCTCGGTAAATTGTCAGTTTGGTCTTTTTTCAAGGGGAAATGAGTTTCTTATGTCTCTTTGCCCTGCATTAGTATAAGTTTCAGGTAAACTTGTCATGCAGAAAAACTGCAACAGAGTTTTTCGTATACTTGTAATTTTTAGGTAAATTTTTTCAATGAGCATGTGTGGTGTAAGAACAAGTTTTCTCTATAAACGTTTGGTGCATTACGTGTCAGTTGTATGCATTTCTGATGTCGTCGTGGCATTGCTTGCTTGCAGGTCAGTGAATGGCATGTATAGGATGTGCTTGTTTGCACTTCGGAACATCGAGCCCGGAGAGGAGCTCAGCTATAACTACAACTTCCACGATTTCAACTCTGATGCCAAACAGGTGAGGATCGTGCTGCATGTTTTTTTCCTCTGTGAGAGGCATGCCAGCTCGTTTAAGTCAACCAATATACGATGTGGCATTTGTGGGATGATATGAGGTCATGTGCACAGTGTCACAGTGCATCAGACTAGCTGATGACAACACACATCTTATAGCTACTAGACTTGTTGAAAAGATCACACTTATAATTACTTAGAGAAACAAGCTAGTCATTTGTCACATGTACATTTCTAGATGTTTACTTGAAGTGAGCTGTAGACTGAAAACATCGGCCGAATTCGTAAATTTTCTGAAAAACGATTGATGGTTTCGATTATCCGCAGTAGAAATTTTCCCATATGCGTTACCTTTGACATATTGTTGACTTTCTTCTGCCACAAAAAGTGACGACCTTCAATGGCTTCCTCTGGTTTTTTTCTACAGGAGTGCAAGTGTGGGAGTGCAAACTGTAGTGGCTTTCTCGGTGGCAGGATTTGGCCAAAACTGAATGGACTCTTACCAAGAAACCTACAGCCTGTATCTGTGATTAAAAACACCAAGCAGCGTCCAGGCCGAAAGGTGAGAATGGAGCGATAAATACTTTATGATGGAGCAAAAGATATGATGTGTCAGTAGACATCTTCAAAAGAATGTACTTGGTTGTATATATATATACATATGTAAACATGCAATTGTTATTGTAATCGTCCCTGTACCACTTAATACACATTTTGCACCTGTGGTCTCTGCTGTACAAACTGGACAGATGCGGGTCTTGAACGACCACTTGCTGATTTTTTTTCCCATTTATTGGTGGCCAGTTGTTAGTTGCTCATTACTTTTGTTGCAGGGCTCTGGCAGACCGTCCAAATCTTCCCAGCAGCAGCTGTCGCGCCGCCCAATGTCTTTCCGTGAACGAGCGTATGTGCTGGACCATCGTTGCTTTTTGCTGCGCAATGTGGAGAAGGTAGTTAGCCCATCCCCTCCCGTGACTATCAAGGCAGAAATCTGTCGAGGAAAATAGCCACGTAGAGAAAGCTCTGCATGGATGAATTCCAATACGAATTTGGCTTACTGTTAATCAATGTGAGATGGAACGTTTTAATTTAACACAGTCCTTGTACTTTTTAAGAATTTATTGTAAAATGTTTGCATGTAGGTTAAAGAGAGTTGTAGACTGCAAGCATTGCAGCCAGAGGGAGGTGAGAGAGGCAGCGATGGAGCACGGGATAGAAAGCCGAATAAAGCAGGTATTACGCTGACTCTGATCTGTCAAACTTCTAGTAACTTTTGATCTTCCTAATCCTTTCTGTGATACTTGTGCCCCCAAACGTTATTTCATTTTTAGCTCACCTTGACATCGTCAAGATGAGCTATTGCCGTGGGGCGTCGTACGTCCATCCGTCCGTCCGTCCGTCCCCCGTCCGTCAACATTTGGCTACGGTCAATGATAACTTGAGAACCGTTTGACCCACATGTTTCAAATTGCATACAGTTGTTACTCCTATGGGAGAGATGTGAACGTCCTATTTTGGAGCACGCCAGTTGACCTACTTTCGAGCCACGCCTACTTTTTGGCAAAAATGGAAATGTCCATAAGTCAGTTCAGGTTCAACGGATTTTGCTCATTTTTGGTATGTGAATGAATAAGGACTGGCTCCAAAACATATCACAGGGGTTTTGATACTTTTTTTAAATTATGCAAATTAGGTAGATTTTGGCAATTTTACTACGCATTTCAGTGTCTGCCTACGGTCAACGATAACTTAAGAACCATTTGACAAAACAGTGAAATTTATATTGGTATAAAACAGGGAATAAGGACATTTGATCACATTTCGGTCCATCATAAATGAAACACTTACCAAATTTTAAATATCATCTCTCTCTTCTATTACACCCAAGGTGACCTATAGTGTCATTGACACTTTCATCTAATTAAGTATCTGAAACTGTTGTTTGTACTAAGTTTGCTCCCAACTTTGCTCCTCATCTCCCCAAGTGATGCTATAAAGTAGTAGTCAAACGATAATGTCTGCTCGGTTTAGATGTCTTCATGGCGCAGTTCACGGCATTGAAGACTGCACGGTCTGTGAAAACCCGGAGATTGGCGTTGGCTGAAGGGAACACAGAGTTGACAAAGACTGCACGACTTGCTCAGGTGTTCAAGGACATTTTCATTGTGGTTTCCACAGAAAAAAGTGCTGACAACACTGTCATGGCAATGCCCTTGTTCACCTTGCCTTCTAGAAAAAGGTGAGCACCTCAGTTTATAATATATTTGCAGTCCACTGAGAAAACTGCATGGATAAGCAAACCTAGTTGCCACATTTGATCACCACAAAGATATGTACTCTTGTAACTTGTTTAACTATCGTCAGCTGTAGTTGTGTCCATGCTATCAGTGTATCGTCTTGCTACATTGCCATTATGTAAATTGTCGCATTTTCACGATGCATGATAAACAGGGCTGGTGCGTACTGGAACAGTGATAATCTTAATAAACCAATTCGCGATAAAAATGGTACACATGTTCATTTTCAGAAATGCGGACTTCTATGAGAAGATCAAGGATCCCATCTGTCTGAACCAGATCGAGAATAAAATCATGACTGGCCACTACAAGACTATAGCCATGTTTGATCAGGATATGTACAAGCTGTTCCGCAATGCTCAGGTGGTTTTTCACGGAATGCTCTAAAATAATGCTATTAGTTGGTGATTGATTAGTAATTGCCCTACTTTTTGCTGCCATTGTTGCCAACACTTTTATCACGCATGCCTCAATCACTCTGTAGTGTATGCTTTGCCATGGTATGTATCTGACAGCACATTTTGTTCACATGCAGAAGTACCACGGTGAAGACTCCGCCATCAGCAGGGCCGTGTCCAGACTGCAGTCCGTCTACCAATCAGCGAAACTCGACTCAAGCACGTACTTTGAAGATATCTTGGGCGAAGAATTTCATGGAGCAAAGACCAGCCGAGGCCGAAAGAACACAAAGGAGGGTGGTGCGTAGCAATGCTTGCACTGCTTGTATTTTGTTTTTGAAGTAACACAAACATGTCATTTTTACACCATTAGGACTTTGTACAACCAAGGATCTTCCTGGTTACAAAAACTGCATTCCTGAAAAATGCATGAAAGCAACATTTTGTCCTGTAAACCCCATTGTACTATACACTTCTTCTATTATCTATTTAATCGATATACCTTCCTCTGATGTATGAAATTGTCAGTTCGGAAATGCTGCACATATTTTACCTGGACATTGTTTGTAATCTGAGCCTTCGTAACGGGGGGGGGGAATTTGTGCGGATGTCTATTTTGCGATATCATATAAATGCATTCAAATGCTGCTTCTATCTTGTGTAGCGTACCTTGAGAACTCAGATGATGGTGATATCATCCGCTGCCTGTGTAATATCTACAAGGATGAGGGGCTCATGGTGCAGTGTGAGAAATGCCTCAAGTGGCAGCATGCCGACTGCATGGGTGTGACGGGAGCCGAGGACAACTACATGTGTGAGCTGTGCTCACCTCGTCCATGCAGCAAGGTAATATCAGCAACGTCGAAGCACCAGGAGAACGACGTCAGAACAATTAGTGATGATTAGACCACTCCTGATTCTAATGTTTTGTCCTAAAGCATCATCGAATTAAATCCCAACTATAATGTGGTGACATTTTAATTAAAACATTATGAATGTTTTAATTAAAAAGGCAATAAAATGTTATGATGAAATTTTCATACGGAATCTTAGTAAGGTAAACAGTTGTATTGAAGCCCCCTATTATTGATCATGATATCTTGTCTGATAATATCATAACCATGATGTGATGATGACTGTGGTCATGAGTTGTCTCTAACCTTTCTGTTGTACTTTATACTTTCCTTTGTTCTTAAATTTACATGAGCTCAAAAATGGCTTTGGCTAATATGTTTCCAATCAATTCAAGATGCTTGCAGCATAGCAGTACCTTTGTGCGATGTAAGGCATGCTCACAGCACACGTAAATTCAGTGGGCACATGCTGGCGTGGGATTGGATTCATTTTCTACTTCCTTGCATGTTGCAGGAGGTTCCTATGACACCACAGCCGATGTATGCGATGCCAGGGTGTATTTATTACATGACACTTATGAGGGATGAGCTGCAAATAAGACAAGGTTTGTGCCATAATTTATTTCTGTGCTCAATTAGTTTTTTGAACTATGGTTGGCTACTACTCTAAAGGTGATGTGCTGTTGACACATAATAAAAATTTATATCAGGTAGTAATGTATAGCATTCCACAAGGATGCACATTTAGTACAGTGAAGCTTGGGGTATGTGTAATGAAGCAAATTCAGCCACTCTCATTCATGAGAAATCACGCAGGCAGATTCGGTGACAGAACCTGGCCTCGGGTGACAAATCACTTGCGGGCCTCATTAATGCCAAGGCAGCACACGTAAGTAGGGCAGTGGTCTCTCCCTTCCCTATGGAAAGTAAAGAAAGTGGACGTGCTGACCAAACGCGTGACATACGTAAGTCACGTGGTTCGGCCAGCCTAATTAGAATGAAAATCTGAATAAAAAGGCACGTTTTAGAGCAGAGAGGCAGAGTCGTCTACGCTAGATTTGTGAGTATTACTTGGTGATTGCATTGACTTGTTTGCTTGTTATGTATATGTGTGTTAAACTCCTTTGAGACTGCTAACCTATCTTGAGAGTTGTGTATGTGTTATGTTCACCGTCTATACCCTTAAATGCGTAACTCTATATATCTTTTACTATTATCTGTAAGTTTACTATTACTAAATTTTCTGTTGGAAATAATGTGATGTTATATCACTGATATAGGAAGGGATAGTGTGATGACTTGATTTGTTATTATTCTAGGTGACTGCGTGTACCTGCTTAGGGAACGACCTCCAAAGGCTGGAACGACGCCTGCAACCCCGGCAGCAGCAGTGGCACCTGGTGGTGGAGATGGCATCCATCACAGTCCCATTTTTAATCCGAAAGCATTAGCAGGTAAATTATTTTTCTCGAGCGGGCGTATTTGTATTCAAATTACATTTATTTGTTCGTTATTTTTGATTTTTGATTTTTGATTTGGTTACATTTATTTGTTGGATATTTTCCTAAATAAATGCACAATCAAGAAAAATACCGAAATATAGTCTCATCTAGTAATTATTCATTATTTGCCATTTTATATACTGCAAACTGCTATACTTAACTGCAGTACTTAATCAGTCACACCTTCACTATTCATAGTGAAGGTGTGACTGATTTTAAAAGTACTGCAGGATATGGGTTATGGCAGTTTGCGGTATATAAAATGGCAAATAATGCAGCAACTTTTTTTGTATTGTGATAATTCCGTTAAAATTGGAAACCACCAGACAAAAGTACATGTCATTGTGTGACGTAGTGGTTCGAGCCTGGTTTCCATTTCTCTGTTGCTTAATTCAAATTACCGTTAACAAAGTGTCGGGACAGGGTCTCGAGAGAAACAAGTGGCATCATCGTGTAACCACATCAATTCGAAGTCAACAAACAAATTTTACTCATTGCATATTTTGGTAAAAGTAATGATGTACGAGTAACGATGAAGCGCGCCACATCAAGGACGCGCTAGGTAAATGCTGCTACCCCAATTGGGCACTAGACAAAGTGTCCAAAGAGATGAACACTGAACGGGTCTGATCAACATCCTATAAGAAAACCTCCACTGAGAAACCGAAGGCGATGATTGTCCTACCATATGTCAGAGGCGTCATGGACGTAGTTCAATGTCACCTAAAAAATGCAGGCGTGGCATCAACAATTAAACCGCTTGAGACCTTAAAAAGGCATTTAGTACACCCTAAGGACAGAACAGATATACACAACATTACAGACTGTGCCTACAAGATACCGTGTGCAATGTGTCACAGTGTGGAAAAAGTTATATTGGAGAAACCCGCCTTAAAGAACATAAAAAGGACGTAGACACCGTAGCTCCCAAATCTTTCACAAGGGCGCAACGCAAACAGTCGGCATAACGAAATAACAAAATCTGCGATCACGGACCATGTAGCGACCGCCAATCACACCATCGATTGGGATAATTCGAAGCTTATCGATCGCGAGCCAATCAAAATCAGGCGCTGGATTAAGTAAGCCATCTGGATCAGCAAGACCCCGAACATCTACTGTGATGAGGGGGGATACAGACTCCGTCACGTGTGGACCAAGCTGTTGGCCACTACACCATCTGGTGGTCAAAACTAATAACTTCAGTCAGCTTTGAGAAAGCATTCTGATAAGAGGTGAAACGTCAGCAGTACGTTTTGAATCAAAACGGTTGTGTAAAAATTAACCAAGAAAGATCTATTACCTACCAACCGAATGAACTTATTTAATTAATGATGTACGAATATTTTAAGACATGTTAGCCTTACTTTAGGCATTTCCCGTTACACAAGCAATACATGTAAGTATTGTAATAGTTGGAAAAATATGTAATAATTGTCGGACAGCTTGCAATCATTACTTTAAATCACCAAGCCAAAACAAGTGCTTCAGTGAGTTTGCCAGTAAAATTAGGCAAATCAGTTAATCAATATAAAGTTTCCGTTCTAAATAGAACACATTGAGGTTGTAGTTAATTGGTCTCCTCCTGTTTATGTGCCTGCCACCTACCAAGTTATTTCAAGTTAGTCACAATGCATTTTAGTTACAATGCATTCACTCTTGCAATATGCTTACGTGTTTTATAGATTGCAGCCCAGGTTCTATCACTGCTACAGGAAGTGCTACACATACTTACCCTACATTCAGGGATATTCATGAGTTTGACAAGAGTCAAGTTGACATATTCAGAGTAGAAAAGCTGTGGAAAAATGACAAGTAAGTTGAGTAAGCAGTGCTAAAGATGCCTGTAATTACCTCCGCCCACGGAGTGGATGAGGTTATGTGATCGCTCTCGTGTAGTGTGTTCGTGTGTTAGTGTGTTCGCGCGATCGATATTATTGCGTCGAGTCAGCAGCCGGCCAGTCAGTCGGCAGCAGCCAGCAGCGAGCGGTGAGCCAACTCGTAACACATACATGTTACATGGGGCGTATGGCGTATGTCGCTGGCGGAGGTATGCACTCCGTGAGTGCCCTCTGTCTAGTTATGCCTGTTATGTTGTTTGTACACATTTTCTAGATAGAGTTTATTACTCAAACATCACATTTACCTTGATTGGCTCAGTCATATTAAAGGTGATAAACCTTGACCTCTCTTGAGTCACTAGATAGTCATTCACCAGTGCAGTATTATATTGCATCTGTTTCTATTGCTGTTCTTCGTATAGGGGCGACAAGTTTGTGTTCGGGCACCACTACTATAGACCGCATGAGACCTACCATGAACCATCAAGGCGCTTCTTTCCTAACGAGGTTAGTATATATAGTGTCTATGTGCAGTACTTTTTGATTGCTATCCGTGCACCTTACAAGCAAGATTAGCTCATATGTGTAGATGGTTAAAAATTTCAGGCCCGGTCTCCTGACTATAATAAACTCAAACAGCTTGTAACATTCGACTAAAGATGTATTGTTTACACATTTTAGTGATGCGAGTTAGATTTTGGTAGTTTTTGTTTCCCAATTGTGAATAACTCTATAAAATGTTGGAATGCTTGCCATGTTTCGGAATGAAAAACGCCGGTCAAGAAAACTACATTACAAATGTTTCATATGGCATGAGCGACAGAAGTAAAAAACAATATTTGAAGGAATTATTTCCAAATCTTTGTTTTTAAATGGACAATATGGGAAAAATATATAGTGAAATAGAGTCTCACCTAATAGCTGATATGTTACATACTACACCAACTTGAAAAGAACTAAGAATTTATGTTATAGCATTGAAAAATGGAATTGAATACGTCGTAACACCATAAATGATACGTGGTATATTTGATGATAGTGACAATTAATTTGCAACTGGCATTTTCAAAACAAGTGAGCCTAATTCAAACAAAAGGGCATCTGATTCCGTAAAGTGAACGTGGTGCATTTATTTACATTGCTTTTTCTTGGCCGATGTCTTGCGCTAGCGCGAGAAAGTCTGAGGTTCGCAATAAAACGGCTGCGGAAATCAAAACCAGTAATCAAAATTCGAACCGTACATGTTTTGGTTAATATAGCTAAGTACAACGATTCTAAGACATGTTAGCGTTACTCTAGACAGTTGCTGTTACTCAAGCAATAACGTTAAGTGTCGTAAAAGTGAGGAAAACACGAGACCGGTTGGAAATTATCTTTGAAATCCTTGCTTTAACAGATGACATTTTTCTTTTGACTCCTGCAGTTTCTACGTGAATAAATATACAAGTCATCGGGTGCAGGTTTCATGGTGTTGATATGACGTACGTTTGTGGTACAGTTGCCTTACGAGCCTGTTTTACTCATACAGGTGTTTCGGGTCCCACTGTACGAGATAATACCGCTCGATTCCATCGTTGGTGTCTGCTGTGTCATGGATCTGGCCACATACTGCAGGGGTTGTCCTGTAGGTATGGCAGCCAATGACTGCTACATCTGCGAGTACAGGTTGGATAAGACGGCACGCCTGTTCAACAAAATCTCAAGAATCAGGTGTGTTGATTGCAAAAGCGAACCTTAGCAATATAAATTTGTTTATTTTTTTAGTATTGACAGAATGTTGCAGGCCCTAAAGGAAACTGTGTAGGTTGCTACTAAAAAAATATTTACAAATATTTTTGCATAATTTCAGGTACCCAATCTGTACAAAGTCGTATGCATTCAACTTCTTTGAGAAGAAGTTGCAGCCTAAACGAACTTATTCGGTAAGAATAAATTATTATACATATTTATTACCTTATTGCAGATTTTAGTGTATATATTATTTGCTTTAGTCTTTATTTGTGAATGTTGAATGAGCATAATAAGTAATACCATACTAAAATGCAAATTACTAATGCACTTGTAAGGAGATAATATGAAACCCTAATGAGAATTGGACACGTATAAAGCATTGCTGTTGGGCCCCTGATGTTTTTCTGTTTCCATATTTCAGTCCTTTGACACCAATGTGTATCTGTACCAATATGTTGTCTAAGTTTACACGTGGTACATATAACAATAATTGTATATGTGTGTGTGTGTGTGTGTGTGTGCTGCGTGCGTGCGTGCGTGCGTGCGTGCGTGCGTGCGTGCGTGCGTGCGTGTGTGTGTACAATTGTATAATTATGTATATACACATACGTACGTATGCAGCAGGCACGCACACACACCATATATTGCCGGGAGAGAAAGAGAATAGGGGGATGAATACCAGAGAGAGAGAGAGAGAATATGAAGCAGATTGAATTAACTGATGTTTATTTATTCTTAATAACAAAATTTTCAGCCACCGGACAACGCAATGAACCACTAGAACATACTAACTAACCTTTAACATCATACTAGCAACTGTAGTTACGTACAGTGTACGTGAACTGTGATCACAGCTAGATGGTTAAAATTAGTGTTTTGAATAAATAAATGTCAGCTAATTCAATCTTGCTTTATATTCAAAATAATCTTTACCACCAAACATATATATATATCAAGAGTAGATAATAGGGAATAGTATGACACCGTTTTATCAGCGTTTTGCATGTTTTCAACTTGTAATTTATATCAATATGTGAATAAATATATTCAAACTTTACTTGTTTTCGCTCTATGATTCTCCCTTAATCATATGACACCACCAATTACCTGAAAATCGTTATGTGTCTTCAAAAAAGTTCTTTGAATACGACACGGTTTCACACAGTTTTACACAAATGGACGCATTTCCGCGGCCAAACTTTGGTATGGGATTAGTGTTTCTATTGTCTATGACGGAACGCTGGGGCTGTAGTGGATATTAGGTAAGCACAGTAACAGCAACTTGTTTTGCTTCCTTATCATCAGGAACACGATGGCAACACAGCTAAAATCAGCTGCTAGCGTCGCGTGAGCACACATGTATTTTTAGCACGCTGGAAACGCTACACCGCTGAATACAATTCGATGGCTAATAATCCCCAACAGCCCCAGCGTTCCGTTCATAGACAATAGAACACTAATCCATTTGTTAAAACTGATGTGAAACCGTGTCGTATTCAAAGAAACTTTTTGAAGAACAACATACGATTTTCAGGTAAATTGTGGTGTCATATGATTAAAGGCATAATTCGACCATCGATTATGCAAAGTTGACGAATGCTACAGTAACTGGGCACCTGTGTAGTTAAATAGTACATTACCTTATAGCAAACGCGTATTAGTTGTGCAATATCACTGCTAATTACTTAAGAAATGTCTAATTGAAATCCGTAAGATTTTGGTAATCTGGCGACAACGCCTAAATTTATAGCCAACAAAATAAACATCGAGTTCGGGTTCGGTGGTGACGTCACATGTTGCTCCAGGATGTTGAGCATCGAATTGTTTGCCTCTAGTGTTATTATTTGCCTAGTTGCCACATATTATATGTTGCTTGTAATCTCAAGACTTCGTATTTCATTTATTCCGATCCCAAGAGTAAAACCATAACGTACGGAATGCGCACTCAGACTAAGCAAGGATCGCAATTGACTGACGCGCCGAGCCATACGCTGCGAAAATGTGGCGGCTGCACTATAATCTGTATGAACCGCCTCGCCGGTTCGACCGGTTACTGGCCGGCATTGACGCAGTTTGTACACTTGTCCAAACAACTGATTTGCTTGGATGCGGCCGATTTCATTAGGACATTCTTTAGTAATCCAGCAGTGACGCTAATTGGACAATAACTTAATACGCGTCTTGGCTCTATACGGGTTAATAGTACTTATTAACTAACACAAGCGTTCTCAGTTACTGTAGCATTCGTTAAAATTGCATAATCAATGGTCGAATTATGCCTTTAAGGGAGAATCATAGACGAAAACAAGGTAAAGTTTGAATATATTTATTCACATATTGAATAGAATATTTACAAGTTGAAAACTATGCAAAACGCTGTTAAAACGGTGTTCAATACTCTTCTCATATTATCTACTCTTGATATATATATATGTATTTATTTATTTATTTATTTATATGTATATGCATATGAGCATGGTGTATGTGTGTATGCATTTGCATGTGGATCCACAAGTATTGTGTGAGAATGTCCATTGTGAAAAACAGCCACCGTGTTTGTTTGTGACAGCCGCATGAGGTTCCGGACGATATCAGCGTCGACGTTCATGCGCGGGCTCAGAGTCTGGCTCTGGCAGCAAAACGCAGCATCAGCAACCGGCCCAACAGCGATGACGAGGACATCCCACTGGCCATTGTGAAGCAGCAGTCGCAGGAGGAGAAGGTGAGGATGTGTGGTCCTGCGTGTGGCAAGCAACCTAGTTTCTTTGTGGGTGTATACTCCTCTGTAAGCCTACCAACAATATAGTGTCTTTGTGGGTGTGTACTCATCTGTAGGCCTACCAACAATATAGTGCCTTGCTAAGTTTGTACTCCAAACTGTAAACCTACTAATAATGTAGTGTCTTCTTATAAAGCTTTATGCTCTGCAGTGGACAGGTCTTGATATCCAATTATTAGCTCATCTGACATAGTCAGATGCAGCTTGTAGAATCGGATGAGCGTGCGTCCGGCCGTCCATCCATCAACAGTTGGACACAAATCTTAACCGCTCGACGTCGGTCGCACGATATTGGGGGCGTGGCGGGGGGGGGGAATCTGAAAACGCAGTTGGGATGTCGAAGCTGGGGTCAAAGGTAAAGGTCAAGAGGTGGTAAAAGGAAGGGGGAAATTCCCTCCTTAACTTAAGGTATAGGAGGAAATTACGGAATTTGCGGCACAAATCTCAAACGGCTTGACCTAACGCTCTTAATATTCGATGTATAGTTGTGATGGGAGGAAACACATCACCAGCGTGAAATTGGAGGTCACAGGTCAAAAGGCAGTGGGGGAAAGGTCAGATATCAAGACATTTTCTGAGACATGGTCTAACGGAGCCGAGTGCAAAACTTTTTGGTTTCAGCGCTGACCTACCGTTTTTATCACTTTATTGAAAGGACCATGAAATCGACTTTCCTCTGACGTGCGAAGAGTAAGTGTCTGATAACCTTTTGACCCTCAAGAGGAGGGTTAAACATGGATTTGTTGACTGTTAACAAAGGACTGAACTGCTTTTGCTATATTAGAGCCCCCTGACATTTAGATCTGTATAGTAGTATCCTAGATATGTGCTCTGAGCGTGACAGCGGTGGCAGGAGGGCGCACTTGATTCGGTTGCCAGTGAGTTTATCAGAAGAATACCTGGCTACAGTACACGTCAGTTGAGCGCTGTCGCTCTGCGGCACTTGTTATACATGTTTTATGGTAAAGTTATGTATGAAATTAAAGTTTATTATTTGAAATTCAATACTGTTTGTCTGTTTTCAATATTCAGGAGTATCGTATCGAAAAGTATCGTATCGTGACCAAGTATCGTGATATGTATCGTATCGTGTCATCAGTGTATCGTTACACCCCTAGTAAGGAGGTGTCACTGGTCGTGCCCTCACTCCCCACGATAACCCCTGCGACATATGAACTTATTGCTATGCGGTCATAAAAACACTGGGCTGTGCCACAGGCCTCCTCAGCGGCTGCCTCGCTCCTGTGAATGCAGGGGAAACACTGGTATAGCATGGCATATACAATTCTGGTCAATTTAGTTGAAATAAATTTATTTCGGCGCCTGTTGTTGTTGCTGTTATTGTTGTAATAGCAACCAATTACTGATTTCACAGTTATCCACATATGAACAACATGATTTTCTTGCAGATGAACAAAAATTATTTGTGTTGTAATTCTGTGTGGTATGTAGCAAATATCGATTAATAACCTCTATTTGCAATTGCCTGCACACTTGCAGAATATGTTGTTTTGCAAGTTTGTGAGTTCATTGCAGATTGATTTTGGCAGCCTCATATAACATTTTAACAACCGTTTTTGCTTAGGTCACTGAATCTTTTAAATGCTTCACCCACGTTCTTTTAAATTCAATTGCAATAAATTTCGTTCTTTGGTTTGCATTTCGCATGCTGGGCATCCATGGATGAGATTTCCTCAGACTGAATGCTGGGCATTTTAAGTAGAATCTGTCAACATTTTAAACTGGAATCATGTCAATAACTTTGATACGACGAGCTTGCCAAGTGTCCAGTGTCCGTCTTCTTTTGTAATTTCTGTCCTCACAGGTGGTTGGTTTATCAAGCCCATCCAATATATATATATATATATATATATATTCATATTCATATTCACCACATTCATTACTTTCTTGCTTTCACTGCTATTGCATGTGCACGTAATCCTAACAAGCTACTGTGGCTGCACTACATCAAACTTTGTTTACTATGATATTCCTAGTTTCCTACCTCACTTTGTGCTGCAATATATTGATAGCAGAAAAAATATTAAAATTGTTTTTTTCCTTCCTTATCTCGCACATTATATATAGTAATATTGGGCTTGCATTTAAATAAAAATAGATCTTCAGTAACTAATTGCACTTGATGATAAATTACAGCAACATCACTTTATTTACAGAAGGCCAAAAAGAGGGAGCACCTCAACAGCCACCTGACTAAGCTACTCTTAAAGTTATCTAATGCTAAGAACCCACTCGATGTCACCTACCTACTGGAGACCAAACGTACACGTAAGAAACCCACACTGGCTGGCTTCACTTGAATTCATCCTGCAGAATCCTTTCTGGTTCACTTGGTTATCTTCCAAAAAAGATGACTCGTTCACCCAAATTCTTCCTGCAGGAAGCCTGGATCAGCAGGAATCTACCTGCTGAAGATGTGCCTAATGTAAAATCTGCCTGCAGGAAGCGTGGTTAACCTGAAATTCTTCTGCAGAAAGCTAGTCTCAACTGACACAAGCTATGGAAAACATGGTTCACCATTTCTGGTTTCACAGTTGAACCTGGGTTCAGCCAAAGGCCTCGCGTAGGAAACCGGGATTAATGTTTGCTGCACTACCAACCCTCATCTCCAGGTTTTCCCCTCACGTTACAGGAGAACAAACACCTGCCTACAGATGTGCTACTGACAAATACCCATGAGTAGCACGAAGTCACCTCGGAATTATGATGGAAGTGCTCCACCCAGAAATGGCCGGCTCAGTTTTGGGGGAGTATAATTTGTATGTTATATCGTTTTTACATATACATAATATACAGAGCAGTTTAAACATGGTAACTAGGCACTAGTTAGTAGCTACCCCCCCCCCAAATGGTGTTTCCACTCTGCCAAGATGTGTCACATTGTGCAACTGGACCATTCCTTGATGCACTGGTGTGTCACACTGTGTTACTAGGACACTTCAGTTTTATGGTAAGAAATGTGGAATGGCAGGTACATGACACGAGATTCTTGGCCTATTAAAGCAAGTTGGTTATGATTTTAAAACAATAAGTGCATTATGGTTGTGTTTATATCTAGTGCACTGCCTATAGGTACTAGTTACCTTTTGGTAGCTCGTAGATTTTGGTGTACCAGCCTGTATATTGTATACATTTTACAAGCAGTCTCGCTTCGTTTGGATTCAGAGCTTGGTGCTGAAAAATTCAAGCTTGAGATGGTCTCACTATGGGAATGGAATTTTAATTACATTGTTAGACAGATGTGGGTATCACGTCCAGAATATTTGTGAGATTAGGACAATGGTTGTGATTCTAGCTAGTAGTTGTGAAAAAGCACACCTAGTTAGCGAGCATACCATTGAAAATATGTATGTATGTAATTAGATAATATACTCCAAGCATAATTAAATATTTCTTTTACAATTTAATTGTACGTCTAGGTGAGCATAAGAAATAATTTTCATGGTGAAGCAATGCATGCAGATTCATGTTATTTGCAGTGTTATATTAATACCGCTGAAATAATTCTAATGGACGTAATTACTCGGTGGAAGGTTTTATAAATAGTAAAAAAAATTGAGGTGTTCATGCCAAGCTGAGTACAGCAGTTTATTATGTTGGTGTTTCGAAGCATGATGTCTTATTTTGACAATGTGATTACACTATTAACCGTGTATCCGAAGGTAACGTATACATTAAGTGTAAATATTGCAGTCTTACGTGATAGCACTTGCGTTTTTATTGGGACAATCTACTGTATATTCATTATTATTATTAGTATAGCAAATCCCATATTTTATCTTGATGTGAACCCTATGAATGTAATCGTGTTCAATTTGTTTTTGTACGGTTTGATTGTGAATTGTGTTTGTTGTACAGAGCGTTTTGTGTACATTTCCGTGTACATAATAATAGGATAGACCTACTTAAGCCCTGTCTCCCTGGGTACTGCCGGAACGTACCCTGGGTACGGTACGGTATACCGGAACGTACCCTGGTAACTTCTATATGCCGGACCGTACCTCGCCTACTCCACTAACGAGTCTAGGGTGTCGCCTACGCCTACTCCCTAACCCTAACCCTAACCCTAACCATATCAGATAGTTACCAGGGTACGTTCCGGTATACCGGACCGTACCCAGGGTACGTTCCGGCAGTACCAAGGGAGACATAGACCTTATGAGCCCTACTTAAACAACGTGACGAGTGTACATGCAGTGCCTGTCTAAACCTATAGTTAATACGAAGTAGTAAAACTGCTCTTCAGTTCTAGTTTATGTTGATGATGTTGTACGTACATTATCATACTCTATTCGTCGTGTACAGTACGGTAGTACACTAAAATAGCTACATATTCAACCACTGTATCTTATGAACATCACAGTCATCAGTGGAGCAGGTGTGATTTTGTATCATGTTAATGGTTACTATTATTTTTATTAAAATTACTGACTGTTCTTAAACGTTTGTTCGTCTGTGGCTATCTTGTGAACAAGTATTCTTGTTCTGACCATGGCTAGGTTAATGAATTAGTAATTGTAATTCATGTGTTCCTGTATGTTCATACACAGGTGATGTTCAAAACAGAGCAAGTGTTGGTACACGTCTCATAAGATCGTGAAGTGTTAGTTTCACCTGAAGAAACAAATCAGGATATAAGTGCAGTGTAAATGTTATGATATTTTGATAACTGTCGGCAGTGTGAAGAATTACATAAAGAAAATGCTGGTTGTGATGCCAGCTAAGAATCGAATTGACATTGTACCGTAGCGAAATTATTTGCACTCGGGGATTCAGGCTCAGTGCATTTTCGATACAATCCAAGCTATTAGTATTATGACGTCAGTATTGAATTTCACAATTTGATCGTCAGGAGTGAATTCGAAATGTAATTAAGTTTAAAAAAACCTGTTGTCCATGATTCATAGTATGATCATGAGCCAGTCAATGTTCATAACGACTAAATCAACGTGTAATGATAATTGGGTCCTATGCAGTGGGTCGTTCTACATTTTTTCATTGTGCTGATATGTGAACCTTGGTGTGCTCCGCTATTCGTAATGAAATTTGCATGTAGGGGAATATTTAGGGGAAAATTGTGATCATTTCTTACCGAGACTAGATACAGTATTGTGTCCAGCAGAACTCATTGTAGTATAGAATGTTAAATATGGTTATCTCTCTCCCTTCGATTCAGTGTTTTGGTAAGGATAAGGTTAGGGTTAGGGTAACACACTACGTGTAGAATATTGTAATTTGTATACATGTTTACTGTATTCTTTTGTCATAGGGATAGCGATGTTATTGTACATACGTGCGTGTATGTGTCTGCATGGGCATATGCGCGTGAGTGATTATGTATGTGTAGTAATGACTAGTCGTATGCTAAAAGTATTTCCTGCATATAATAAAGAAGCTTATCTAGATTGCTATATGAACTCTAATTCCCGTCTTGTGTTGTCTATTTGCTTTATGCTGTTTGATTTATATTAATGTTGTACAATTTTCATATATACTTGAAAAGCTGTATGTAGGCAAAGGCACTAAAAACCAAGCGTGAGGTTGTAAGAAATAATCTGTCTACGACATCACTGCTTATATTCTTCCACGACTTCTCTAGTTGCTTCTCAGACTGACTACCTTCCAAAAAAGGAACCCTTGCAAGAGGTACGAAGGACTGCACAGCTCTCTAATATGTTAGTAAAACTGCTAGGAAATGTTATCCAACGTATAGGTAGTGCATGTGTGCGTATAGTTTTTGTCAGCGTAATTCCTACCACAATTAACTCAACGCAATGTGAATTGAAAATTTATTGAGTAAAGTTAATACTCGGATATATGTCAGGGCCGTAGCTAGTGATGTCACGATCATCGATTATACTCGATCATCGGTTGAACAGTGGCTCGAACCAAGCGCTTAGTGATGTCACGATCATCGATTATACTCGATCATCGGTTGAACAGTGGCTCGAACCAAGCGCTTGGTTATCAAAATCCATAATCGATTTCATCGGAAAAAAAATCAAAATGAATGTAAAACTTGAACAAGAAAACTTGGAAAAGTGATGAGAATCAGAGATATTATCGCTACTATACAAGTTATCCTTTATTAACATACATGTATTATACACACAGTAGTAAACAGTGCAAAACAAACAGTAAACAAGGCTAAACAAGCACACGACGTTACACACACGCAGGCATTCAACACCCCGAGTAACCGATTGTAACCGATCGTCAGTTACTTGGGTCCAACCGATGATCGATTACGAAATTACAACCGATTGACAGCACTAGCCGTAGCTAGGGGTGCTAGCTGCTCCCCCTAGAAAAGTGTAGGTACATTACATGATCAATGGCAGTCACACAAATCGCACATGACTTTGTACCCCCCCCCCTGTTTAAATGTTTTAAATAGATCTTGATTTTTAAAAAGCCAATTGGGCTGTATAAAATTAATGTAACAAAACAAATGAAAACAAACAAATTGTGTCCCTATCTATAAATAAATGGCTCAATGACAATACTTTATCCTTGCATCTAGGAAAAACAAAGTATTATTTTCGGAACTATAAAGTCCGAAACTCGGGGATAATCCAAAGTTAGACATCAGATGTAATAGGGTGGCAATTGAACATAAAAACAGTTAAATATCTAGGAATAGACTTGGATGAATCCATGAGTGGTAAGGTAATGGGAAATAAGGTTGTAAAAAAAGTTAACAATAGATTGAAATTTCTTTTCAGAAAACCTAAGTATTTAAACACAGAATGTAAAGGATTACTAATTTCCGCCTTAATTCAATGTCATTTTGATTATGCATGCAGTATCTCATAATCTGGTACAGCAGTCTCACAAAGTGCACAAGGACCAAGTTTCAAGTGTGCCAAAATAGAGCCATGTTAGATTTGTTCTAAACTCAGGTACTAGAGCACACACAGGTGCTAGAGAGTTCAAGGCTGTAAATTGGGTACCAGTAGAGTACAGAGTAAGGCAACTAAAGGTTAATAGGGGTTTTAAAATATTACATAATCTCAGCCCACAGTATATGACAAAGGATTCATGTTAACATCTGAAGTCCACAGTTTCAATACAAGTGAACGTGAGATGTCTATATATTTAAACAAAGGGTAGGAAGCAGTGGGAAAAACTTATTTATACTGCAATTGAAGCTTGGAACTCTCTACCACAGCAAATTAGAGCAAATTCGATCTATACTAGTTTTAAGTAACTAGTGTTAAAAAATTTCTAATGGAAAAGGTCGAAACACTGGAGGCAGAACAGTATGATTTTCACTAATCCCATTCGGATTGTAATTAGGGTATAAGAAAAGTTTGTATATTACTATTAGGAGTGAATAATAATATATCTATCAATAATAGTATTATTATTCACTCCTGCTGGTATTATATCCCTACTAGTAGTAATACTAATAGTATTGCTAGGTGAAGAAAGTAGACCTTGCCTTTGCATTTGGTCTGAGTCATCATGCATGTGCAATGCCCCAATCTGCCAACACAGGGGCGTGTACAGGGAGGGTGGGGGGGGTCCAGGGGGTCTGGACCTCCCCCTTGCTCGCGCAGAAAACGCATCTAAGGGGGTCTAATTTCTA